TGGACCACTCTCTTGATAGCTGTCTGTGTGTCGTGAGCAATAGACAATGCCGGAGCAAGTAATATCGGGAGCAGGGGGCTTCCCCATAGGGAATCACTCTATTCGTTTGAGACAGATACTATGATTGGCTAGCTTACTTTGTCTGTGAATGTTATCATTTTTTATATCTTGCCTGATAAGTAAATGGAGGGGAAAAAAACTCTGTGGGTTATATATAATTTTATTAGTGAAGTATGTCAAATGATGACTGTAAATTCAAAATGGTGACACTAAAAAATCTTGCTGGTCCTTTGGACTGCCGAAGTTCAATTTTTTACCATCTTGACAAGTTTTGGCTGGTCATCAGCAATCAGACCTACAGTTTCATCACAACTGAAATTAAAGGAAAGAAACAGGACTTAAATACAGCTTTAGCTGGAAAACAAGTCTTATTGGTTGATTTTTCTGGCCATTGAATGAGATTACATTAGTAAACATACGTTACACATATGTTGAGATTTCCCTTTAAACTCCCATATGTTTAGCTCTCTGCATGATACAGTTTGTAAAAGTCTAAAATTAACAGTGTCACATAATTGGGAATAAGTGATAATTATGCAGGTAAATGTTGCTTAATATTGCATATAATTTTACAAAAGAAAAAAATTATTTTGTGTAATGCGAACATAAATGCTATAGATGACCCGCAAGAAAACGCAGTAGATACTCCAGCGCAGTAGACTACTGCAATCATACTGCAAACCGCAGTAGACTACTGCAATCATACTGCAAACATGCTTTAAATCTGCTTCAATTTGGGAGCTAATTAGCATATTTGAAACATGCTTCTGTCATGCTGCTAACCTACTGCATTAATGCTCCTCTCTGTACAAACCTATGTGCTTTTTAGAGTAGACTTGCAGTAGGCTATGCTGCATTTCTACTGCAAATATGCTCCACACCACTACTGCGTTAATGCTTTTTTGCTACTTCGATACTACTGCATTTTCGTGCGGGGAATAACAGTGCCTTATTATCCTCATACTCACTGGGGTTATTCATATTGTGTTAATATAACTAGATTAAAAGTGTGAATAGCAGCTTTATTGGAATATTTTTTGTTATGTTTTATTTTAATTTTTTTTAAACACTGGCATCTTCAAGATGTGACATTTAACTCCCACCCACCCAAAGCTTTGTACATTTTCTGTCTTTCCACGTAAGCTATAATATTCGTGTTAATACCTTTAAACATTATACAAAATTATTTTATGCACTATCATTTATTGCATAAATTGATTTTGTATAATGTTTAAAGGTAAATGTTTGAACTCTGATGACCCTGACACTGTAATCTTATTGACCATGTTACCTATTGTGCATGATTAAATTTTAGTGTTGATTGACTGTGCTGTTATAAACATTATTATGTACAGACACAGATGTGCCTGTACATATAGCCATCACCTGCGTCTGTCGTCGCCGTTGCCGTTGCTGTTGCTGTTGCCGTTGCCGTTGCCGTGCACTTTTACCGTAAACACGATTAGTGGAAAACGGTTTTAAGTTTTGGCTTGAAACTTACAGGACTGATGAATATTCATAATGTTCAGGTCAAGTTCAAAAATCAGCATGATCAGGCCAATTTTAGGGAAGTAATGCTGTTTTTTCACTTTTTTCAGCATATATATACAACACCGTAAACACGATAAGTGGAAAACGGTTTTACCTTTTGGTTTGAAACTTACAGAACTGATGAATATTCATAATGTTCAGGTCAAGTTCAAAAATCAGCATGATCAGGCCAATTTTAGGGAAGTAATGCTGTTTTTTCACTTTTTTCAGCATATATATACAACACCGTAAACACGATAAGTGGAAAACGGTTTTACCTTTTGGTTTGAAACTTACAGAACTGATGAATATTCATAATGTTCAGGTCAAGTTCGAAAATCAGCATGATCGGGCCATTTTTAGGGAAGTTATGCTGTTTTTTCACTTTTTTTCAGCATATATATACAACACCGTAAACACGATAAGTGGAAAACGGTTTTACCTTTTGGTTTGAAACTTACAGAACTGATGAATATTTATAATACGCAGGTCGAGTTCGAAAATCAGCGTGATCGGGTCATTTTTATGGAAGTTATACTATTTTTTCACTTTTTTCAGCATATATGCAACCCTGATAACACGATAAATGAAAAACTGCTTTACTTTTTGGCTTGAAACTTATAGAACTGATGAATATTCATAATATGCAGGTCAGGTTTGAAAATCAGCATGATCGAGCCACTTTTATGGAAGTTATGCTGTTTTTTCATTTATTTCAGCATATATGCAACACTGATAACACAATATAACAAAAACAGATAGGCCAATTGTCATTGCACTCACAGGAGTGGTCAATCTTACTAAAACACAGGTTGAGTTTGAAAATCAGCATAATCGGGCCATTATTTTAGAAGTTATGCTTTTTTTTTCACATTTCCTCAGATTCAATTCTTAGGCATGTTAATAGTCTCATTATTGAACTAATAAGATACGTAAAAGTGTTTGTTTGACATTTCCTGCATCTTTACAACATTGTCAGTTGATTATGTAAAAATGATGGTAAACTTGTTATCATGTATTGTATAATAGAGTTTCAAAAATGGAAATAAACTCATATCATTGCAGTTTGTTAGATTAATTCATTCACTATGTTCAGAAACTCAGAATGGAGGAAATTGGACATTTAACACTGTTCTATTGATATTTTTCCCATCTCATCAATTTTCTTATTTGGTCATATAAAATGACAGTAAACTGTTAATTTTGTTTTATGTTAAAAAAGTGTTAAAAATGGAAATAAACCCATTTCAGAAAAGNTGTAACGGCTAATATCTTCCCATAATAAAACAGCAATTTTTGACATACAATGCTCAATGTCTGTAACACAAGTGATTGATGATGTAAAATGATTAAGGTCTTCCCATAATGCAAGAGGAACTGATGACACAATGTTCATTGTATTCCCATAATGCAACAGCAATTGTTGATGTAACAATGATCAATACATATATCCATAGTACAACAGCAATTGTTGACGTAATAATGTTACTTCATTGTTTTCCCAAAACACAACAGCATGTAAGATGTAACATGTAAGATGTAACAATCTACCCATAATGCAACAGCCACTGTTGAACAACTGCCAATGCTAGAGACAAAAGAACTTTAAATTGGAGCCCAGACATGGACTGTAACACCACCAGAGTTTTCATGTAGTCACAGTACATTTTTAAGTGAACAGTTACTGTTACATCCACCCAAGAAGGTCCTGAAGAAAAAAATTAGGGGGCTTTCTCATTCTGTGGGTGATAAAAGTATTTAAAAGAAAACTGGATAAATCCAAATTTCCATAAATATCAAAGGAAATGGTTATATTAATCCAAGTAATTTTTCCTTAAAAACATTTTTCTTATTTCACTGCACAAGGTAATATGAAATATAAAATATACAGTTTTATTTGTCCTTCAAAATATACACACGTAACTAAATAACTTCATGAATTAAAAACTCTACCTCCTGGTAATCCATATGCAATAAAAATGCATGAACTCACGAGATTTAGAAAGTATTCATACTTAAGTAACAACTTACTTTGAAATGTACTATAATTTCAGCGCTTTCATATAAATTGATGGAAGCACTTTTATTTCAACCCCACACAAACAACTGCCTCAACTATGCTTTTTAATTCAATTCTTAAGTCTCCAACATACACTCCACATGAAATGATCTTAGTGCTTCAAATTCAGAAAGCTTGATTCTCAGTGGTTCACTTTCATCACATGACTGTTATTCTCTTGGCACAAAACTAATCCCGAAATGGAATAACGAATATGTCAAGCCCCCAAACAACAATTAGTAAAACTGACAAACCATCTATCAGATAAAGTCAGATGGAGCATTTTTATATGTAGCCTTGAAGCACACGCACAAAATCCATTATCTGTTTCCAATCCGTCAATTCCAATAATCATTTCAAGAAAATTAATGGAAAAATCAATGAGGTTCTACTTCATATATTTGTCTTCTTGCTCGGCTAATATTTTTGCCGAAGATTTTGCATCATAGAAAAGCTCGTTAATCTCATCCACTTCGTCTTTCCCGATTGAATCTTTTCCGTTTATTTTTGCTAAAATACTGGCTGGAGTTAACAGCTGGTTTGCATACCTGAAGAAAAATATAAATCAGTTATAAGATGTGCATTATACTGGAACTGTCATTGACATGCTTGTTTTATTTTCTCACACAGCTTTATATGCCTATTTTTGGAGCTGATAATTAAAATAATTTAAGAAACAAAAGACTGAAAGCTAGCAAAGATCAGTGCTGAAGACTCGATTCCTTTTGAGTATGTGGTCATTTTAAATGTCATAACTTTACAGAAACTGGTCAAGTCTTATCACGGTTAGTCTGTGATCTGCCATGCATGATTCTCTATCAATATCTACGTGGCATACCCACAATCCTCTATCTATACACAGCATACCCACCTCAGTGTGGACTTAACTCCAATAGTACCCAGCTCCCCCAGAGATTCCTCTCCTATAGAGTTCCCCTCAGTTTGGGCACGGATTTTCAAAATCTACCAAAAGTAAAGCAAAAACTGTGATATCTTTTCCTCAATACCATAAAAGCAGATCGAAAAAGTGAAGAGACATTTCTGCATCCATTATGAAATCAGACCAAAAATGAAGTTTTAGACATATTTAGGGTTAATTAGGTCACTGGTGCTTTTGTAACCTTAAATATTCCAATCCTTATCTTAGATGGATTACACTTTGTATCTTTATATATGAAAAACAAGCTAGCCGGAGTGACCAGTGGGATGACTAGTTAAAGACACAAACTGGTCATATTGTACCTGTATCATCTCATCTTTGGAGTATGGTAAAGTTTTGATGATCATAATTCTGTCCAGTAAATCCAGGGGCATGCCGTGGGGGGCCACTATGTCCTCAGTGCCTCTGGAAAACAGGCAAAAAAATACCTTGATAAAGCAACTGATCTTGTGACTAAAATTAGTAATCAAATGTTCAAACTCTTCATAAACAAATTTCTTAACTGTTGATAGAAATTGATAAATTGTGCAACAGAGATTGCCAATTCTGGGAATCTTCCCTTTTTTTTTTCGTTGACATGTCTCACTTTATGCACACATATACTTGCCTCTATTTCTGGACTTACAACTTAAGAACTGCAATTATAGCAAGTCTAGAAACAGTTAAAATAATATGTGCATATATCAACTCAATGTCTACAAATCATTATACATAACACCATGATTTAGTTTACTCACTTTATCACACACTTCCCCCTGTTGGTGGCAAATATCACAATGGGAGCAATGGTGGACTCCAGAGCCCTGTGGAGGTAAGTAAAGCACTCAATGTCCAACATGTGAACCTCGTCTATAAACAACACTCCGGGCACCAGCTCTGCTATACCCTGGTCTATGTACTTGTTCACCACTTTGTTGATCTCTTTTCTCAGTTTGTCTGGAGGGCAAAAGTAAAGCATGAAACGATATTAAACTGGTTTTACATTTTAATATAAAGGATGATGTGCACAACGCCAAATACATCTATATGCCCTTTTTCATTACAGAAAGAATTCACGTTCTTGTACCATAAAAGATAACAAACAAATTTTTAAGTTATTAACTAGGTAAACTATCTAAAATTGCCAACTATCTGACTTATAAAACTCTTCTACCAACCTGTGATTTCTGTCTTCTTGGGTTTCATCAACTGCCCCATCATAGACATGATATCCTGACCTCCCTAAATTGAAACAAAAACAATATCAACAGATTGAAATTTTCTCTTAGATTTACTTTAGTGCCAGCCTTTTTTAATTTAATATTTTTTTAAAATAAAACATTACCTATATTCTTCAGCTAAAGCAAGTCATTGTTAGCATTTGACAAAATGCTTCTGTGATGATCAAACTTGAACTACCATATTCTAAAAGATGCATACATACATTAACACGTAATATAATCTTGCACTAAACCAGATTTTAAAGGGATAATAACTCTTCGTTTCGGCAAAAAAATGAATTTTCCTGGAGTAAACAACAATTTTCCCATACTTACCAATGGTTAATGAATCCATTTTTACATTCCAAGTTGGTCCCTGTTTTTTTTTTCTAAAAAGTTTGGTTTTTTGTTAAAATCTCTTAAGAGATTTTAACAGAGTATAGCCATCAATGGAGGTCACGTGGTCTAAAGACAAGCTTTGATATCAGAATAATAGCTGTAACTGCCGTTTTTGTGGTACAACAGAATATATTATATTTCTATGAGTTGTTCACAATGTTTCTATTGTGAAATATAGCTCTCATATGAAGAGTTATTATCCCTTTAACATGACAGAAATTTATGTTGGTTTACATAAAGACAATTGAAACCTTTGAAAAAACACAAGCGTTATTTCCCATATCATTTACAAACCTGTGGCCTAGCATTTGCAATATCTAGGTCATGTAAGGTGACATCCTGTATGACCTCTTTTTTCTTGTGGACATCTCCTTTAGGTAGAGGGACGTACTCTTCTGCTTCTAGATCAAACTCTGTAGCATATGTATCAGATCTGCCTTGACGCTGGAAACAATATTGTAATGCCAATGTTTTCAAATCTCATTAAGAAATGTGTGGTCATTATTTTTATAATAATCAAAACAGAATATGCAGCACATGTACTGAATGAAAAATAATAGTGACAAAAACAGTGAAAATAATCCAATGTCTAAAAATATTAAAAATCCACGTCAGAAGGGCTCACTTGAAAATAACAGCAAAATTTACAAGAAAAAAAAATATGTATATCCTTTACTGTATTCACTGGCAACACAAAATACAGTCACATCCTCATGTACTAACAAAACCACAAATGGTTCACAACTGGTATGCAATGGTTAGTTATAGATCATTAAGTGATTACAGAGCAGTACCCTAAGTCTCTTTGAATTTCTCACCTTAACAGCTCCACTATTTGCTTCAATATAAATGACATCTCCAGTCTCCACCTTCTCTTTCTGTAAGCTCTCATAAATAGATGGGTCCAGTTTCAGCTGTTTTGTGCCCTTAGCAGTCTTCAGTCCTATCACCACATGACTCACTGTTTTCCCATATCCTAGAGAAAGAAGAGTTTTTTTTAAATATAATATGTCAAAGTTCAACAAGACAGAAATTTTGGCTTTTATACAAACATCAAAGAAAAATTTAAAGTTACATAAATCATGATAAGTAGGCAGCACAGAGGGCTAAATGTTTTTCCATAATTACCAAGAAAAAAAGAAATGTATCCACAATATAATCCAGCAAAGTTAAAATAAAATGCAACCCCTTTCATTATCTTTCAAGCTGAAATTACTGAAAATCAACAACTTGTAGAAGTGTTCACTCACATATAAACCAAAAATAATCTTTACTAGTACATATTTCTATATTTCTATATGTATCCTCAGCTGCTTGTTTCTCCACACTGTCAGGTAAAATTCTTACCTCCCATTGGGTTCTCTGTTTCTACTGGTGTCAGCTCTGTTACCTCTCCCTCATAAACTTCTTTTGTCTCCTTTATCCTCAAACCTACCAAAAACAAGATACATATGCTTCAAACTGGTATCTTTTTCATTTTCAGTCTTTTCCCTCTATTTTTCTATTCACTTTACATAAAACTTAAGTAGATGTAATGTTCACCGTTTCTAAGAAAAGGCACGTCATCCAACCTGTTTTAAAATAAGATTAGGTTTGTATATGAATCCTTTGCATACTTTTTTAAAATGAAAATTGTTTCATAAAACAAGACTCTTTCTTATCACTTACACTGATACAAATAAATATTGTAAGTCCCGCGTTTTAGTTCTGTTAGAATTTCTCACCAAACACCTGTTCTTCGACTAAAATATTAAAAAAGGCTTAGAATGCCATTTAAACTTACATCAGCTCTTCTCATTTATCATATTTCATTTACAAGATAGATTCAACTTAACATACCAATGGCCCTCCTGAAGTTTTCCATAAGAACTTCTGTCTTCTTAATCTCAGAGGAGTATACTTCACTACCCACCATTGGACAGAAGGGAACTTTACTGCCTAGTTCTTGTGCTATGGCTAAGGCTATGGCTGTCTAAGAGAAAAAAAATTAAGGAAAACTTAAAATTCAATTATAATATATTTAAGACATACAACAGTTACATTAGGCCTGCATAGGATTTTTTTTTTTGTCGTAATAAATTATTCTCTTTATCACCTAAACAATGATGTTAAATTGATAAATTTGTTGACAAGAACAAAGGTTTATGGAAATTCTAGTGTCAAATAAAATCATTTTTGCAATGGAGCAAAATTAAATGAAATTTAAAGAAAAGAAATACATATTCCATGGGAAAGTGACAATTTGCAAAATATTTTGTCTAAAGCAAAACAAAAATGCGAAACAAATTATTTACCTTTCCTGTGCCTGGGGGTCCTGCTAATAACACTGCTCTTCCAGCCATCTTCTTACTTTTAATCAACTCTATTACAATACCAGCAGCCTGGGATACATAAAAGCCATATAATTATCAATTTCTGGGTGGAAAATACTATAACGCACTTGTCACCATTTGAAATGTTATTTCAATTACTGTAACACCAGCGCGGCAGCAACAGAGCAAAATCAACAACCAATATTCAGTATTCAAACTGACGCTTAATCAAAGACTATCACTATGTCAAGCGAGCTATAAACATAATCCCAAAGTATTGTAAATTTAATAAAATTATGATCAACGGTTACCTCTCTTGCTAGTTCCTGACCAACAAGTCCTTGTGCTGACGACAGAGCATAGCCTTCCTCATTTAGTCCTAGCCCTTTTATGTGACTATGCACTGCTATCCTCTGTGTTTTGGTCGTGCTTTTAACTTCCTCTATCTTCATTTTGATTAGATTTCGGCGGTTACCACTGACACTCGTCAAAAAGCGTGCACAATGCGTCAAGTATGGCCGCTTGGTTTGTTCTTCATGTAAGCAAAAGGTTTAATGAGAGTGGGAAACAAAGTCTGTAAAATAGTAATTATTCTATTTCAAAAATCAGAANATACTGAAACTTAGTGAAAAGTTTCATAAGACAGAAGTGCGCAGCTTGTGTTTGAAAACCAGTGTGATTGTTTTCTGTTTTGGAGGCAATGCAGGTTTATAGAGTGCTATACTGGCATTTTCAAGTTGTGACTTATCACTCCCATCTGCCAGGAACCCTGTACTCTTACTTTGTAACATTTTCTGTATTTTGTTAAGTTACAAGAATGATTCTTAGGATTGACATACAGCCCAAAAAAAAAAAATTAATAATATATAGTGATTATATATATATAAGGAGGATCATTTTTTTTTTGTGTGTAATTTTCACTGTACCTCATTCTGGCATTTCCAAAGTTTAACTCTTATCAGCCTGACACCTTAGGGACTATTTCCAGACCCTATCACGCTAACTGTGGATCGATCTATCTCCATGGGAATTCTCGCTAAATTGCAATCAATGTTAGTGGCTTAGTTGTCTGTCACGCCTACTGAAACTGGCATGCCAGAATCCTAAGACTCTCAAACTGAAAGCAATTTAGTGAGAAACCCCTTGGAGTTGCATTGATCCTGTTAGATTGATCTAGGTATGGGAACTTAGTCTAATGCTTAATACACATTTTACTTTCATCCTAATCCAATGTTATGCAGAATAAGAATTTGATGTTGGCTATGCAGTTACAGTAAGCATAATACATTAGTTCATCAGAATTGACAGTATCCTATTTCCTGCGTTTTTATTTTCTGGTTTTTGTCTGTACATTTGACAGCTTTGCTGCCTTGTTTAAAAGAAAGGGACAGAAAAGAAGTCAGCTTACTGGTATTCTCATTTGTCTTAAAAGTGAAATATATATACATTCATGTACTGTTCATGATGCATTAAGTCACTTTGTTCAGCACATTTGTATGATCATCAATGTTTATTTGCAGTTTGGTCAATGTAAGTATATATATGTTTTTTATGTTGATATAACTGTTATGAGAAGTGGACCAGTTTTTGGTCTACTACTGGATGTGATTACATGTGATTAAATGTATTATAATTGTTTTCCTAGCTGGCAGTATGAGTGACCAAGGCAGTGATGAAGATGTTGAGCAGGGAGAACAGATGATGGAAGAGGATGAGGATAGGGAAGAAGATGAGCAGGCATACACCCCTGCTATATCAGCTCTACCTCCTAAGGTGGTCCTGCAGGAAGAGAGCCAGATGGAGGTCTCAGCCAGTCCTGCCTTCGTCTGCTTAGATGAGGTTAGTTTTTATGGAATACTTTAACTCTGAATGGTCAGGAGAAAATGTAACACAAATCCTCCCTTGAATTCTGTTCTGTTATCCCCACACTTTTGTGGCAATTGTCAGGGATCATTTGCTACGTTTGAATGTGATTGAATAGCTAAATCAATGAAGAACATACTACTGATAAAAACAGATAAATTATGAAATTATTGCCTGAGATAAAATATTTTGTGTTGTCTCTGTTTTAATTATTTGTACTAGTAATGGCTTTGCACAGCAACCAAGTAGCTGAGATAATAATGATAATAAAGTTGAGTGGTTATCATAGATTTATATTCAACTTCAGTCTCAACTGACATCTTCTCCTTATAAGAATATTTCCAGAAATTTGAAGGTTAAAACAGGAGTTTCAGCATGCCATCAAAAATCTTTCAGCACACGAAAAAATATTTTAAAATATGCAATAATGCATACTGTCTTTTCCAGTTATTATTCAGTCCATTCAAATACAGACAATTCTACTATTTTTTCTCAGTTTCATAAGTGCTTATGTAAGCATGTCTTTATTTACAATAAATAAAACCAGAAGCTTCAAACAAGTCAGAGCCATTGAAATCAGTTTTCAATTCAATAGCATCAAGCACTGCATCTTTGCATACAGCTGTTTCAAAAACCTTGCAAACTGTGATAACAAATGATGATAGCCATCCTTATGCAAGTTTAACAACATTTGAACTTGGCTGGTCGCACTTTGATCTCTGTCTCCATCAGTGATCGGTACCCGTCTAGTGTTTGCCACATGATTCCATCTCGAGTGTAGGACTGATACTCTCCATTCTGATGGCCTACATAATAAATCCCATTCAAGTTGGATGCCATGCAGTTGGCAAACCACCAGCCACCGTGATAGAGCTGCGCACAGTTGCGGCTTGAACTGGCGTCATTGTCCAGGTCAAAGGTCGAGAAACGCTGGCCGTTGTGACGCAGGTAGTAGTGGCCATAGTGGAAGGAGTCACCAGCGGTGCCAGAGTAACGGCCAATTCTTAGGCGATAGCGGTCACTTTCATCACTCAGCTTGAACTGAAACAAAAAATAATAATAATAAATAATAATAAAAATAATAATAATAATAACACATTGAATTCACATATCTAATGTATTCAAATTATTTAATAGGTAAGGCATTGGAAAAAGTAATAATAACAGTACATCTGCTTTCTTTGCCCTTAATTTTCTTTTAAAAAATGGCTTGGGTGAAGCATTTATTTCTTCATTTAAAACAATGATCATCCTGAAATGAGCAAGTAAAAATTAATTTTTGATCATGGAAAATTAATGTCTCATAAGCACCTTCTTGTATTCAGCATAGGAGTACTTGTTGTCTTTGAACTGCCAGAGATCAAACCTAATCTTAGTGTTGCCATTCTTGTTGAGGAGGTACATCTTCTGCAGCCCCAGCCAGTGTTCTGAATCAGGGTCACCAAATCCATTCTGGAAAAATGTAATCCATTTATTTATTTATTTAATGGGAGGAATTTGAAAAGTCTTATTAGAAATTTGGTTTAAGATACTGCTTGGTTTTTGTGTTGCATTTCATAACTGTTCACAATAAATGTTTAGTGGTCAATGTTGTAAATGTTATCCTGAAAGGGCATGGTATTAAAAGCAATGAAAGGAAACTTGAACTGAAAAAATTTAGGGGATTTCTCCTCCTAAATTGAATAATAAATATAGATTAAAGACATTTTGAGAAAATTTCAGACGGGGGGGGGGGGGGGGTCAAAAACTTGAACACAACCCACATTGTACTCCCTCCACGTCTTCTGGAAATTGACCAGTCCATCCTCCCTGCGCTGGACCACCGTCCACCCCCCTCCGTCCGTCTCCATGTCACAGTACGCCTTGAAGCTATCAGAGTCTGGGTCTGGCTGGATCTCGNTGGGAATTCTCGCTAAATTTTAATCAATGTAAGTGGCTTAGTTGTCTGTCACGCCTACTGATACTGGCATGCCAGAATCCTAAGACTCTCAAACTGAAAGCAATTTAGTAAGAAACCCCTTGGAGTTGGATTGATCCTGTTAGATTGATCTAGGTATGAGAACTTAGTCTAATGCTTGATACACATTTTACTTTCATCCTAATCCAATGTTATGCAGAATAAGAATTTGATGTTGGCTATGCAGTTACAGTAAGCATAATACATTAGTTCATCAGAATTGACAGTATCCTATTTCCTGCGTTTTTATTTTCTGGTTTTTGTCTGTACATTTGACAGCTTTGCTGCCTTGTTTTAAGATAAAGGATAATCCAAGTTATGCAGTCTACTGTATTTTCAGAAATATCCATGGAGAAGAGCTAAAACTTGTCAATTCCTTTCTCTACACTCTAACCTGCAAGCTGATATTCGATGCTATAACTATTAGTCATATAACTGTTAAATATCTCTGCATGAGAAACAACTGAAGGCAAGAAAAGGTACCAACTGAAAGTTTGTGTAAATGTCTCTTTCATCAAGACTTATCAACCCTCTTGAAAATTGATAGTTCTTTTCACAGTACTATTTTTAACTGCTTTAGTCCTTTTGCGACTGTCCTGTATTGCTAAGCACTGCTCTCTAGTGGCAGGTACCCTCGGTTGGACGTGATCACCTTTCCCATGATGCAACACTCTTGACAGTGCCCTCATTACATCTGGCGTGCATCGCGAAGGCTCAATTTTCAGAAATAGTGGAAGAGAGACGCGATAACTGCACAGCATAATGGTGACAATCAACAGAAACAGGATGAGCACTAGCATCACAACAGGCTGCCATTGGACGGGAATCTCGGTGAGCAGAAGACGAAAGCATCGCCCCAGACCACTGCAGAGGATCTCCAGGGGTTTTGTTATACACTTAGTGAAAGCAGATGACAGGACCTGTAATGAACAGCATAGTTAAAATGTGTTCATTTTGACAAAAGGGAGATATTCAAATGGGGGGAGGGGGTTAAATGTCTCTGATTTATAAAGAGGGCTTAAAAAAACAAGGGACTAAAGTCTAAATATTAAAGGAGGAGATACATGTATAAGTTGGTAACTCCCAGCAATCTGCTGTGTGCACTCATGAACACCATCTTTCTTTGAAAAGTGCAAAAGTTGTCTCCGTTTATATTAAAATTGCCTATTAAAAAAGAAGGGTTTAGTCAGGATTTTGAAATAGGAGTCAACAACCATATCCATACTAAGACAGGTCATTTAGATTCCATCTGCATTAAAAAGTGAAATGTAGAGTCTACAAGACAGCTGCCTGGCTAAAGCCTTTTTGTGAGGGCATAAATAAACTAGGCTGTGCTTAAATTAAAAAGGAGGGCGTAAATACTCACCACAGCAGGTGTCACTTCCCAGAGAGGGTCCACCATGACAGCATAGTGGTATTTAGCACACGGACTATGATCCCAGGAGAAAGCCCAGTGGAACCATGCCTTCAGGGAGGGGAGAAGACCTAGAGACTCAGGGAGACATTCCTTGGGAGTGCCCTTGAATGAAAAAAATATATATTATAAATCTCTGTACTAGTAGTAGGATATAAACTGTGCATCATTAGAATGGGACAACGGGTAAGGGAAATATAAAGGAGGGCAAATAGATCCACAGACTCTGGGGAGATATTCCTCAGAAGCACTCCAAAATAAAACTCTTTCCTGGGTTTTACATTTTCCATTTACAAGAAATAAATAAATGAATGAAAAAAATATGTAAGTGGATATATTGGAATTTGAAGGACATAAATATCCATGGACTGCTGGTGGACTGGTGTAAAATGCCCTGACAACTGTCATAAATGCAAGTGGGATATAAAAGGTGGCTTAAACTGTAGAGGAAGGCATAAATACCTAGAGACTATATGATTTTTTCAGGAGTATGCCAAAATAAAAAAAGTAACAAAGTTCAATAGGAAAACCGATTTCTGGGAGAATAGGCCTTTTGCAGCTAGAGCAAACTCTTCAGTAAACAAAAGAAGTCAGCACTGAGTAATTTAGCTGCATATATACTCACTGCATACAAGATGGCAGCCTTATTAGCCACCTCCTGCTGGTACATTCTGATGAATTCCCAGGGAATACTAATCACCGTAGCAACCAGCAATATGTACAACACACACTGTCTCCAACTCAAGTTTACTGTGGTCTCTCCAGTCAGGATCTCTCTTAGTAGAAGAGGTGTAGATTCCTCACTGGGTATAAAATCGCCATTTAATTTCTTATTTCGAGTTCTGGTGTCTGTTCTCTTTGCATTCAACTCCCTGTCTCTGCTCTCTCCACTGGCTGCCAGAATATTTCCAGTTATTAAAAATCTCCTGTCACAGAATTTCCATAGCAAATTCACAAATAATAAAATGCCTATGAGAAACATGAAAGTTTGGAAAAGATAAAAATGTCTGAGGATGGTAGAGTTGGTAGTAATTAGCAACCAGGTGCCTTCTGTAAATTGTCTTGTTTTGTTCATAGTCAACATCCATGTTTCTTCTGTAAGATGTTTTGTCCTGTTCATAGTTGATATAAAATGTGTTGTTAAATAATCTGTTGCATTTTTCATTGATTCAAACATTGATGAAGAAGAAACTGCCACAATATATTTGACAGTTCTGGTAGTTTGTGTCAGAGAGGACGTGAGCTGATTCCATGGAGTCCAGGATGATTCAGATGGTTCAACTTTTGGCTGGAATACCATACTGTGTAAGCTTTGGAATGTTTGGAACCAAGCGCCGTATACTTGAACTTCTTCGGGAATTTGCTGTGGAGCTAATCCTGAAAAATGTGTGCAAAATTTCACTAAGTTATCTACAAAGTTTTACCTGGGAAATTCTGCAGTTCGGTTATTTAATTTTCTTTTCTAAGTGAAGTCAGTTCAAAAAGTAGATTTCAGTAAATAGCAGAGTAAGACCTCTATTCTAAGTACCGTTAAACATGAAAAAAACATTGCGCCCCCCCCCCCCCCCCACTCCCCCCAGCCTCCCGCTCTTGGCGCTAGCGAAAAATAGGTCGAAATTCTTTAATCAAAATCAATCAAAATCACCATGTAGTCTCACCTAATTTTTTGATCAATATGGCACATAAAGCACACATTAACGAAGACATAAAACAAACATTTCTCGCTAAAATTAGATAATTGTATGAAGAGTTAATTTTTTTCTTGTTCAAACTGCGCGCCGCCATTTTTACTACAATTATAGCAAGCCAGAAATTTAAAAGACGCAAATGTGATAAAACATTTTTTTGTGTTAGCGGATGAACATCTTAATTTTCTCACATAGCATATACAACAATAAATTTTGATTCAAGTATAAGTAATTTAGTCACTTTATACCAAAAACTTAAAGATAAATTGACTATTCATTGTTTGCAAAACATTATCAGTTTACGCGCGTAAACATAAGGAAGTAACTCGTGAATTTCACGGGAAACTTTTCATGAGCAACAGCTGAGATAGTCTTCCAAGAAAACATAACAATTGACAATGCAAAGGTGAATACGCTTTATCAACATAAATGTGTAAAAGACTGCGATCACAATTGAAAAAGGGCAGTGTGGAATCTTTTTGAACGCAGAATAACAATATCCAAGTCAGCTGATTCGAAACTACTTGAGTCGATATATCGACTTAAAAAACTTTTACTGTTGCAAGACTTTGCACGATACTCTAAAATGTTAGTGTGAATTTCCCTGCTTGGAAAAGAGAGCTTTGAAGCCAAAATTTCTAAAGTTGCCCTTGGAAAATATCCACAAAACTTGGACAACCCCTGTACATGTAAGTATACCGGTTGTATCTTTTTTTGAAAGAACTTGTTTTACGTAAAAACGAAAGTATATTTAAGACAAAATAGTAAATGAAAAGTAACGTTTATCTGAAATCAGCCATTCATATTTCTTTTCATAGATTTATGGGAGGAAGTATAAGTATGTTTAACTTTAAGAAAAAGTAAGAGACAACTGACTACTGTACCAGTAGATTCACAAAGACATTTTTCCAACCAAAACGTAATCTAGCCCATGAAGCCTCCACTTTGCATCAGTTTTTGGCCATATACATGCTAGGTACTTACTGCAGGTAAAGTCTAATTCCACCCTGCATTTCAATCTCTCAAAGGCTGTAAATATCCTCTCCCCGACAAAACTGTGTCCTATGTCCCACCTTGTAGTGTAATATAATTCCCATGTTAAGTCCTTTTGTATTGGTTCATGCACCAATTTGATAGCATTTTAGTCTTTTTATTCCATCTATAAAACAACAACTACCATTTACAAACACCATTAGTTAGTCATCAAGAGTTTGTAATACAGGGTGGAATGAGGCCTAACCTGTGCATGTATGGTTGAAAACTGAGGCAGCCGCCCCTCCCCCCCTTCAATCCTGTTATCATTGTCCTCACAGAAACTCTACTGGCATTATGGCTTCTTGACATCACTATATATAAGACCCCATTCCCAGAGATTAGATCAATCCAACTAGATCGACCTAACTCCCTGGGGGTTCACACTAAATAGCTGTCAGCTGAACGGGCACAAAAGTTAATTACCCCTTACAGCTTGTAGTAGGCGGGACGGACATTTAAGCCGGATTATCTGACAGCAATCTAGTGAGACTCCTCACGGGGATAGATCAATCTAAAATCTATGGGAATGGACCCTAAAAGTTGGGTTTATTGCCTGATATCCTCTATAAACATGGTCATGCAGACAACATTTACTTTCAGAGCCTAGTCTGGCATCATGGCTTCTCGACTCCACAATAGTCTGATAGACTTGCTGGTGATGGTGGGACTGGATCAGGAGACTGGTCTTAAACCCAATGTGGTATGTAGACTTCAAATGAATCTTTGATTAAATGTAGGTGGTTTATTGACCACTGCACATGTAGATTCAATTACTGACCCATCACCGGGTCTATGGTGTGTAAAGTCAGTGTGGAACAAGATCTGTATCATTATTATTAATTATTTATTAATTATTTATGCAATTAGGAGAGCTAAATTATTATTTAACTCTTCCATAGTTGACTGCAAATGTTTATGGATATGCTGGTGAAATATTTTTACTTATTATCTAATTTAATTATAGTAAAATTGTGAATATTTTCTAAAGAGACTTAAAGTGCCAGTCATGAGTCAGTCAGGTGATCATCACTCTTTGATGATGGGCTGAAATGTCATGGCTTATTGGTAGAAGAAATAGTCTCTTAAAAAACATTTTTACCAAGGTACAGTATAAGGTTTTTAAAGATGAATGATGCAGAAAGTGATATGCAGAGGAATGTTGATGACTTAAACAAACAATTCTTACCTAATAGTATCTTATTAATAAATTTCTTCGTAATTATTATAATTTTTATCATAATTTCAGACGGACAGCAGTGCCAACGACCCACTTTTCCTCAGCAATTACGAGCCTCAGGTGCTAGCCTCGATATCAGCGCAATGTGCCATGTTCCCTCAGTCATTCCCAAACCAGGATGAGGCTTATCCTCCCACTGATGCTGTAGACAACAGGACAGTGCTGACCCCTATCAGTGAACAGGAGGATGCACATTTCAGAGCGTATGTAGAGTTCAGCTTGTTTTTCATCTAGCTAAAATCTGCTGTGACAGCACACATGGTGTATTTTCTATTGTTAAATAGAGAAATTTTAAATTAAAAAAAATTCTACAATACATACATTTGTTATCTAAGTGTTGGTGTTAAATTTGAAGTCCTCACTTGTTTTTCAGAAATTTTGTTACAAATTGAAATACCTCACAGTGTGTTTCAAAAAAATTTATAACAAATTAGTTGGCTAAAATAAATTCTAGTGTCAGCAAAATTTGAACATTATTTTCTTTAGCATTAGATTAATTTGCACACAATAATTTATCCACGTCATTCAGGCATCTGTTATGTTGAGTCCAGATTTAAGCAGAATTTTTTCTTAATGTTCCAGTAAGCACGCAAGGCGTAGAGGTGCCATGCAACACTGGTACTCCATGTTTTCATTGAAATTTATCCATTTTAAATCCATTCAACCCATAGATACTTCATATTGATTTCCTCGTCATACTTTGAAAAAAATTTAAATGCAAAACCATCCTGTCCTTTGGCTTCATAAACCACCTTAATTTGAATTTTTTTCACTTCTCACTATAAAAAGGTCGTGAATCCAAACCAACTTGTCCTTCAGCTTCAAAAATGACATTTATTTAATTTGAAGAAAAACCAGTACCAGCTGTCAACTATAACTCCATTATGTTTCTCTTAAAATGTAGATGTGATCGAAGGAAAAGGTAAAATGTGTCTGTTTTGTTCACTTCTATCTTCACCAGTAACAGTTAGTGAGTTATGTTGAAATAATTGTTGACCACAACACCATACCCATCTTTAACCAAAAACCATTTATTTATATATTTAATTAATTAATTAATTAATTAATTAATTAATTAATTAATTAATTAATTAATTAATTAATTAATTAATTAATTAATTTTTTGTATGTGTTTTATTCAGTGTTTTTCCTCCTTATTCTACATTCCTATATACCCATATACTATCACGTATACTATACTAGTTTGTTTCCTAGAGATATGTACTAATAAAAATGCAGTGATTTATGTTACGTCCTACCCCCATCTCTATCCATTCACCCTTCAACAATTAACAACAATATGAATAATAGAAAAATTTTTAAAATATGGTAATTTGACATAAAAAAAGGTTCATCAGTTTGGTATTGTTTATTGGTAGCAAATGCCCTTTAAAATTTGCCACAATCTACTATTTTATGAAACTCATAGATATGTTTCAATTTCAATGTGACACATCTGCATTCGTCATTGACTACATTATTTTTAGTTGGACTAAAACCTAGATCTGTTAGGATCGCTCCATATCTGGGGGTTTTGCTAAATTGGTTTCGACTTAAGGGCTTAGATATCTTGCATGTCTACTGAAGCTGTTAACTGAAAATTAATTAATTACCCCAAAACAGCTTCAGTAGGCACGACAGACATCTAAGCAGCTTAAGGTAATCGCAATTTAGCAAGAATCCCCTCGGAGATAATTGATCGACAGTTAGATAGACTGACCCACAATTGACATAGAAATAAATATTGTGAAAAAAGATCATTTACTGCTAACAGCAGTTACTTGACATTTGAATAATGTAGTTATAATACAAAATACTGACCTACTTTCTCATATGACTCTACAGAGAGGATTGGGGGTATGTTATACCTGCATGAAGTTAACTTATCATTTTTTTTTCTTTCTTTTCTGCACTGATGTTAGAGTTTACAGATTTTTATTCAAGAAATCCATTAGTCTGATATTAAATCCATAATATGTTGTTGTTTGCATGCAGTTACATCACAGTCAGTGCCAACATTCTTTTTTGTTTATATTTTTTGTGTAATTTTCAGTCCACATTGTCAGTCTTCTCCAGAATACGACTGCCTGACAGGAGTGTCTGTGATGTGAACAAACAACAAAATATGGGTTTATAAACTTGTTTGGTTCTAAATTGTTCTGATATAAATTCTTCAGTTTGCAGTGTGATTGTTTAAGGAATTCCCTAATTTTAAAGTATTTTGCTAACTTGATTATGTCCTTGCATGTGGATTTTCAGAGATTTCCCTGATTTTAGGAGTATTTTTTGACTCCTTCACCTATTTTTGACTTCACTGACAGAAAATATTTACCTCTTTATGTGGTTGTGTTTTGTTTATTTTCACTGCATGACCATGTAGGTTTAAATATAATATTTAGGTAATGAAATTGAAGGATTGCTCAGAATTTCAATGTTTTTGTCCAAAGAATTGTTAACTTTATGCTTTTAATTATAGTAGGAATAGTATGCACAAAGTTCATCTGGTCATGTGTTTTGAATTTTTTCATTATTTTAAACTTTGGAAAAGCATGCTATGATCTCTAGTATAAGAGTTTTTTAGTTAATCCAAATGAAAATGGTTGTTAATTTCCAGACTTTTTGTTTTTGTAAAGAAAAAGGCATTTTAAATGAACCAATGTATTATCAATAAGTGTTTTGCATCTTTTATGTTGACAATTTTTTTAATCAAATATTTTTAATGTCAGCAAATGTGAAACTATTAATATTTTAATTGGGACACATACAAAATGTGACATTTTATTTATATGTGTCATTTGGCACATGAAGTACGCAGTTGTTTGCACTTATGAGATGAGACACACATTAATGGTTTAAGTGCAGTAGGGACATTACAGTTTCATTCTCACAAGATGTCTTGATTAATCAGTTAAGTTGGACATTTTGCTAGACATTGCCAAGCAATTAAATTAAATTAGTAAACAATGTTGTTATTTGTTTATTACAGGATAGCCAAAAGCCTTCCGCGCCGTGTGACCCTGGGCACCATTGCAGGTGGTCGTAAGATGCTGCGCATGCTCAGTACGTCTGGTGGAGAGCTGCCAATATCTGCGGAGGTTATACAGTCTCTGACAGCCTTCTGTTTTCCAGGTTAGTGTGTATTGGTTGTGACATTGTGTTAGGTGTTAAACTTTGCTAATGGGTAATTGTGATCACTGGATGAAGGATTTTATGTAGGTCAAGCTTCTTTTAAAAAGGTGACATTTTTTTTTTTATGAAAAAATAGGCCAGTTAAGAAACCTCAAATTTGATTTAGATCAGACTTTTTCTGGACAAAAAGCGATTCATTGAACAGACCCCCATGCCTATAGCTTCACAGTGCATAAAATTGTACCTTTTTGTCAACCTCTTTGTCAAAGAAAAGTGTAAGGTTTTATTTTAATATACCGTGTCGTCACCTTATTGCACAAATGTATTTCAGATGGCATGAAGGTCTACCGCCACAGCACGCCTACCCACATCCATTTCCTGGTGCTGACGGACATCACTGGAGAGCGCTCCTATGCTGCATGTGCGACGTACACCAGATCCTTCATGTGCAAGAGTTGTAGAGTGGTAGGGGTCAAATGTGAACGGTTGTTGTCCTTGAGAGGGGAATATTATAGAGTATTATGTAATGTTTAACATACTGTTTATTGTTACAACTTAATTGTTTGTGCTTGAATTATATTAGTTGACAAGATATTAGCAAGATTGTGTTAGGTGTGACAAGTAGTTGAGTGTGTTAGTTGTGACATTAAGTCTGTTAGGTGTAAAAGTCTATAAGTAAAAGTCTATTATTGGTCTATTAGTTATAATAATTATGAATAGAAACAAACTTGTGTGTATGAATCAAGATATTGAGCACTAAGGCAGATTATTAGTTTTTAAGTCTTGATGATATTGATGTAAAGTACAATGCATTTTACAGGATGAAGGAGACGATCACTATTATGATGCCATTCCTGAAGACTTAATTGAAGATGGCTCTGCACACAAGATGGGCCAGAGAGTCTACATTCCATGTTGTCTGACTTTAATATCCAAATATCCCTACTTCACTGTAATGAAGGAGTGCTTGTCATGGTAAAGTTTTCATAAATAAAATTATTAATATTTTGAAGTTTTAATTGGTTGGAGCATAAAAAGAATATTTTTTATTTTGATAAAATAAAAAGTAAGATGATGAATGTTGTTTTTTCAGTCTTGTACCCAAGCTGCAGTCAAACCCAAGAGAAGTGAAGACAACTCTGGAAAAGTTTGCCTTACAGTTGTCTGCTACACCGGTGCCACCTGCTGGCAATGTGGCCATTGTAAGTACTGCCCTCTAGTGGTAGAACTACCCATTGGCACTATGATTGACAAGGCCCACTTGAAAGTGTTTGTGGGGGGGTCAAAAGAACCACCCTAGGTTTTTGGCTGGAAAAAGTTTAACTTCACTCTGAAACATGCCAGCTTAAAGTCTAATCTGTTGACTGAGAATATCTTCATCCAACTTCAGTTAACTAACAGAGAATTTTCTATTCAGAACTTGGATTTTGGTATAGACCATGTTTTGTATTGTTTTTGCTTCAAACATTTTTTGACAAGTCATTTGTTCACTTAATCATTAACTCAATTAGGCACTGACTCACTCACTCATTCAGTAGTTGACACTTTCATTATCTTTAAACATTGCAGAAAGCATAAAGTCTTATGGTATTACTTTGTAGCCTAGCATCATCATCTTTTATGGTTGTTCAATAATAATCAGTACATTTTCACCAGACTTAGTATCCAGTGCGTTAGTTACAGTAGATGGGGCAGCATTAACACTTGCCAATTTAGCCAATGCTAAACCTGACTGAACTTGGCTAAACAAAATAGGGTTGGTTTGACTTTTGTTTTAGTCAAATATAACCATTTGGAGAAAAAAATGTGAAGTAGCAATTTGGCTTAGTGAAAATTTGCTAGTTATACCTAAGAGGAGATGTGAGTATGTATTTATTTATATATAATTATTTATTCAGAGGTTTTACCTGGACACGTACCCTGTGACCCTCTACCCCTCAGATGACCCAAACAAGGAGGTGGTCAACATGCAACTCAACCACGTGTTTCTCAAGTTTGACCCAGACGCCATTTTGACTGTGATACGAAGTATTTTGACACAGCAGAGGATTGTCTTTATGTCCAGCTGTTATGCCATGCTGACCACTGTGATGGAGGTAGGTGGTCTTTTTTTTTTTTTTTTTGGAGAAATGGCTCGTTTTTCACGAGATCTTGAATTAAGACTTATTTGAGGTAAAATTGTCTTTTTTACTCTTTTAATGATTTGGCAAAAGTTTTCAGTGATTGATTTTGAACCTAGTCTAAAATCTACTTCGACTATCACATCAGTTATCCTCTTTTTAAAAAAGGCATATCAAAAAGAATTGGTTTGAATAAATATGCCTAGATTGATGTTTAAATAAAGATAATTATCATGAAAAAAAAAATCTCTGCATATCAGAACAGCCGTCTTTTCTCCTTTTCTCTAAGCAAACCCTAAATTTCCTTCATTCCTTACATTTTGTTCAAAATAATAATTATCTTTCAGAGTTTTCTCGTTTTCGTCCGCCCCTTTGTGTGGAACTATACCTATGTGCCCCTGATTCCTGAGAAGCTGCTGACACTGCTGGAGGCTCTAGGTTGTTTTATTATGGGATGCCATGCCAGACACAAAGGACTTGTTGAACAGGTAGGGTCCCCTTTTCTCAACTTTTTTAGCAGTCAGTCAAGGTGATAGATGATACAACCTGCCACCCCTGCTCATTAAGTCAGGTCTGCCCGTCCTCCCCCCTCCCTGATTGTTTTATTATGGGTTGCCACACCATGCAGAAGGGGCTCATGGAACAGTATCCATTACTTCTACCTTTTTTACAACCAGACTTTGTCAAGGTTTGGGAATGTGACAGTTGTGATAACCCATCATCCTTTGGTGTGCTCATTCAGGCAGGTGCTCCGCCTATTTCTGACTCCCCCCCCCCCCCTCCCAAGAGTGGTAGATAGAAGTTGGATATAGCTCAGTCCCATCATTCCAGTTTTTTTTTTCTTTTTTGACTCGAGTAGATAGCCGTAAGCATACAAAATATTGCCTGGTGAAGTACTGTGGGGTATCACTCTACTTCTCAAAATATTTTGATAAAGATATGATTTCTGTTGTGTCTTTTTTTAGATTGAAGGCATAGTAGCGGTCAATATAGACGATGGGTCGGTGGATGTGTGCAGTACCCTGAATATCCCACATCTGCCATTTGCAGCAGAACAGGATTTTAAGCAAGCAGTGTCACAAATGAAACCAAGACTCAACATGGAGATGGCCCAAGTGGAGAGGTCAGTATTTGTTGATTGTGTTAGTTGTGCACTGATTTGATTGTTGTTCAGAGTATTGTTTTACCCAGAATGCTTCGATACAAAAAGCATCTGCTTATTTATTCCGAATATCTAAGCTTTTTGAAGTATATCTAAGCTTTGTTAAAAAAAGAAGAAAATTACCTTAGATTGAGACAGATTTCTTGCAGTTTAAGTGGCTTATGGTCAAAGGGTACTTATTCTGTAAAAATGAAAGAGATTGAAAAATGTTTGCAAAATATCAGAGTGAAAATAACTAACTTGATGAATAAATAATACTGCTATGGTGTCAATGAAAAGCATGTTTAATTTATTTGTTTTAATCCTAGGGCTTTTCAGTTTATCCTGAGCTCTCTGAGTGATTTTCTAATTGTAAGTAAGAATGCATATTTTCAATAGTTTTTCCTGACTTCAGACCCTGTCCTGTCAACTTAGAGCAGCTGACACACAACAGAGACATGTTCCAGCTCCAGATCAACAAGGACATCCAGGCAGTGTGTCTAGAACTCATGGTGAACCTCTTCAGGTTAGTAATGTGATAGCTGAGATGAATGTGTTAGGTGTGACATTTTGTAATAATTTGATTGTGTTAAGTGTGGTATTGTGCTATTGTTTATTACCTTAGGAATGATGCTGTGCTTTTATTTTATTGTGTTAGGCGTGGCATTAACTGATTATGGAATGAATGGCACAGTGATAGACATGGCATTGTGCTAGGCGAGATATTGTTTTTTTATTGTGTTAAGTTTGGCATTGTGTTAGTTGTGACATTGTTTGATTGTGTTAGGTGTGACTTTAGATCATTCTCATCTAGTCATTCTGGAAATCATGGTTTAATATTTCTAGTGAAAGGACTTAGGTGTGCTACGAATTCGTAGCTCGCTTGCCTATTTTTCTGTTCCTTTTCTCCCCCCTTAAATAAGTATGAAGAGTTTTACATGGGTGAAAAGTATTTGCCTGTTTTTCTTGTAAGTGCTGCTTTTTATTGAGGCTTAATGGACAGTATGTGTATTTAAACACCATCACTGATTTAATAAGCAATTAATTTTATTAAATTTATTTTATTTATTATTATTTTTAATTTAAATTTTGCATAATTTTAGAGAAGTGAAGAAATATATCAGAGAAGCCAGCAGCTTCTTCAACAAAGATCAGTTCTTGGAAAATCAAAGAGAAGAGGAACTACCTTTTTATAGAGAGGTAAGGTCATTAGGTGCAGTTTAAAAAATGTTATCAAAGAATGGTGATTAGGTTTTTCCTTGACCTTTTCACTTTGAACAGTATGCTTAAATGGACCAGACCTTTTGAGAAATTGGCATACAAATACAGTCTTGTTAAGCAAAGTTTTTTTTATATAAGGATTCATTTTACTATCCAAAATTGTTAGGTAATTATAAATTTAATGTAAAAATAACCTTGGATATTGGTCTTTCTCTGAAGCCTCTTCGGTTGTCTAGTTAAAGCAATAATAACTCTTCGTTTCGGCCAAAAAATGAATTTTCCTGGAGTAAACAACAATTTTCCCATACTTACCAATGGTTAATGAATCCATTTTTACATTCAAAGTTAGTCCCTGGTTTTTTTCTAAAAAGTTTGGTTTTTTGTTAAAATCTCTTAAGAGATTTTAACAGAGTATAGACATCAATGGAGGTCACGTGGTCTAAAGACAAGTTCATATATCAGAATAAAAGCTATAACTGCTGTTTTTGTGGTAAAACAGAATATATTATATTTCTATGAGTTATTCACAAGGTTTTTATTGTGAAATATAGATCTCATATGAAGAGTTATTATCCCTTTAAGCGTGTTGTCCATAATTCAGGTTGTTTCCACAGAACTTTTCAAGGCCTTTGTCAGATCACGGTTTCAAGGGGCAGACTTTTTCGATGAATTTGAAGACAAGATGAAACTAGCCACTCGCCAACATGCTGGACCAAAGTTTCAGAACCCAGATGATCAGTAAGTTGTTACTTTGATAGTTGAGAGGGTGAAACATATATTCAGTGCTTTAGTTTTGACAGTCTACAGCAATTTTAGTAGCACAGATAAATGGTGTAATTTGATGTTGTTTACACTGTCACATAGTTTATACATTTCAGCAGTTTAGAATTTAAAACATTGTATTATTAAAAAAGCTATGTAAATTTTATTGTTTTCTTTTAAATTCTTTACATTGTTACAAAATTTGTATTAATATATTTTAAAAAGTGTCTATATTTTGTTCTTGTCAATTATTATCAGAGTGAGGCCAGGCCAGTTAAAGAAAAGGACCCCCAGTTACAGCAACCTGTTTAGTAGCCCGCGGCCCGCGTGGTCTGGACACACAGGTGCTCTCACCTCCAAGACAGACTACATTGTCTTCCAGCTTCCTAGGTTCAGGTTCGAGTCTGTGGCAGGGTATCACAAAGTGCTCATGGAGGAGCTGACACGGAGGGAGAAAGTTAGTATTTAGTCAGATGTTTGTGAGTTGTTTTCTATAGGAACAAATTTTGATTGCATCTTTGCACCTAAAGGCCAAAGCGAATGCAGATTTTCCTTATATATTGAAAATTGCCAGATACTAAATTTAATGTATTTTTTCAGATCTATTACTGGACTTGAAATTAAATGTAATTGATGACATTCAGATGAGAAACTTCATTTATGTAATATATGATTCAATGACAGTTACTGTTAATATTACTCATAATAGCAATTTAATTATTATGAAATGATAACAACTGCTAGAGAAGTTTTGTAATAAGTTATAGTTTTATATTTTCAGTGCTGTAAGCAAGCCAACATGTTCCCAAGGAAGGCAGTCTACCTGTACTTGAGAGGGGCACTACAGATTGCCTGCGATGAACCAATTCGAGGACTGAGAGATTTTGATGCCATTTGCAAATACAACAAAGCACTCTTCCCCAGCAAGTAGGTGCAAATATTTTTGAAGATGTACGGGGTTGCTTAGTCTATCACCCTGAGTTTCAAATATGATGCTCTCTTCTGAGAAGTGTATTAACCCAGCTATATATTTAAGCTTGTCAATTTTTTATGATGAGCCCTCCCAGTCCATAATAATGGCAATAATAACAACTAACGACAGTAACAATAATGATGGTGATAACAGTAATAATAAAGATAAAAATAATAGCACTACTGTTATTAATTATTATTTTGTTAGCATTTAAAAAAAAAAAATTGTCTTATTTTTCTTCATCTTCTTATTATTATTAAACTGTGCATTGTTCCCAGGCAAGTAGGGAGTGTGATAGCCAGATTAACTCCCACCCAGAAAGAGATCCTGAGCCTCCAGGAGTGGTACAAGAGATCAGAACAGCTGCAGAGGATTGAGGAGAGCAAGGGGAAACGCGGGGATGACATTGTGATTATCATGGAGTTTGAGAAAATTCCAGAAGACCCTATTTGTATGTATATTGTTTCTCTTAATATTATTAATATAGAATTGTCATGGTTTGTAGTGGTTGCTGTAACTGAGTCTATGAGGATAATTAGAGGGTGTCATTTTAATGCATTGCTGTTGCCAATAGGTGAGCCATCAGTGGCCAGCTAGAGTTCTTGTGATATTGTCAGCATGATGAACTCACAGACATTGTCCAGAACTATGTTCTAATTAGTGTATGTATGAAATTGAGATTAAAGTCTCATATATACTGTATCCATATTGTATTTTTATTATTTTTTAAAATTTTCTTACAGTTGTTAACTTATCATACAGTATTATTATATTTCTTTATTTGAAGATATCCAAGACTTCTCCAGCCTGGTGGAATACATGGACATAGCATCTGACCATGACACCATTCAGCGGCTGTTTAATGCACTGACTGTCACTTGTCAGGACAACCAGAGTAGGTATAGTTTGCTGGGTGTGGGTGGCTGGTTGTGCTAGGTGAGAATGTTCATTGTGTTAGGTGAGAATGGTCATTGTGTTAGATGTGACAGCTCATTGTATTGGGTGTGATGGCTAAATGTGCAACCTTGTTATGTAGCATTTCTTGTTGGGTATTACAGCTTTTGTTAATAACATCTCATTGTAATGGCGATATTACTTGTTCACTTAGTTTTGATTGAGTTTGATGAGGATGACATCGAGTGTGTGAAGCTTATTATATATTTAAAGAAAGATTACATTTCATATTCTAGTTGAGTCAAAACATTTTCCCATTGTTCTCAGTGTTTCAAGGTAATATTTTTTTCAATGGATCCAATATGATAATTATTATAACTGTAAAATAATTCTGTTTCATCTTCTGAATCAGTGTATACACCCCTGGACCCTGGCACATTTACTGTTTTCTATGAATGCTTGAAAGAAAACGAGAGCACTTGCCATGAACCCAAAATTCCCGAGGGATGCCTTGGCGAGAATGAGTGCATTCTGAAAGTATCTCAAATGATTGACACCAGGGGGAGGTTTAAGGACGTAGACTCTGGCAACATGGAGGTCTATGGACCTGGGAGATTGATATTAACACAGAGAAGGTAGGTGTGTGTGTGTGTGTGTGTGTGTAAGTGTGTGTGTGTGTAAGTGTGTGTGTGTGTGTGTGCATGTGTGTGTGTGTGTGTGTGTGAGTGCATGTAAGTGTGTTTGTGTGTGTGTGGGTGCATGGATGCATGCATGTCTGTGTGCATGTGTGTATGGTTGTGTGTGTGTGTGTGTGTGTGTGTGTTTGTGTGTGTGTATGTGTATGTGTGGAAGACAAATGTTGACACAGAGAAGGAAGGGAGTGTTATATATTGTATGTGTGTGTAAGTGATTGTGCATGTGCATGTGTGTGTACCCAGTTTAGGAGTAAAAAGCAAATGTGAATTAGACTTTTAGATTTTAATGCATAGGGTACAGTTTTAAAGGGATGACAACTGTTTTAAGTTTGGACAACATGAATATATGTTTGAGACCCTTGCCTAAAGGCTAGATCAATGCACAAGCTACATTAGTTTTTTCATTGCCTCTATCACCAAAAAAGGGAAAATTATTATATGTCCATTGGTATACATGTGAGGACAAGAAATAATATAAAAAAAATATTTAAATTTTTTTATGATTTTTTTTGCAGGATAGACATGTTCTTAGCCTCCTGATACTAAAAAGGATATTTTAAAATTTTGTGTAAATATTTACATTTTGTTTGCTTTGACCAAAATCTGCTTTTAAGTTATTTTAATTTGAAATGTTTTTTTTTTATCTTCTATTTTGTGTACAGGTTGTGCTTCATATGTGAAGGGACCCACAGATTTTGTGACATAGTTCGACTGCGGGACATCATATGTTTGGAGAAATCTACAGAAGGGTACTCCATATATGGAAAAAGGGAAAATTCTCTGAAGATTTATTCCAAAGTGATGGGTTGGTAGACGATACTCGAACATTTCTCTTTGACAGTTGTTGAAGTGATGCAATGTTAGAGAACCTGAGACAATATCATTTGTGAAGTTGTCAAACTAGAAAAACACAAAGTGTGCAAACTGCTACAAAGGATCTCAGTTTTCATATTTGATTAATAAATAGGATCCCCACCAAAATGTTATTGATTCTTAACTAACCCATTTCTGATGTACTGGACAGCCTTTCAAATTTCAAATTCCAGTTTTGAAAAAATATATTTAAATTTGAGGAAATTCCACTTTTTAAAATTATAGATACCACCCAGGTTGTATTCACAGCCATATTGAAGGAGGAGCGGAACTATTGGTTCACTCTGATCACTGAGATGTGGTCAGGCAAGCTGATGTCCGAGGAGTACAAGGACCCGGGTCTGATACAGCAGGCAGCTAAGAATGTGATACTCATTGATGCTGTGATCAAAAGGTAGAATTTTACAGGGGAAGGACTGAAATGTCACACCTAATGCAATGCACAATGTCACAACTAGCACAATATGCATTGTCACATCTAACACAATGCATACTATCACACCTAACACAATATATTTTTATGTACAGACACAGATGTGTCTGATTTTTTTCAAGTCTCCAGTATTCTCCCGAGATCTCAACAAATACAACACTGATATTCTCTAACACAATACTGAGCTACTGCACATATACTACAGGAGTGGCCCAAATGTTTCATGTATTTGGAATATCCATACATTTTTTGCCCAAGAACTGGATGTAATGAAAGCAGGACTTTCGATTTAGATTATAAAACAAGCCAAATATGTAAGTATAAATCAAACTTTTCCCAGGTCAGTAAGTTGAAGGTAGAAGACTGTGGTAGTTACAGTACTTGTGATGACTGTCTGGCATCTAGAGATCCTTTCTGTGGGTGGTGCAGTCTGGGGAATAAGTAAGAAGAAAATATTGTGTGTTCGCATTTTAACAATTTGCTTTGCATACCTGATGGCTAAAACCCGCTGTTTTTGTAGAAGTTCCAGAAACAATTAAGCATTCAACTTGTTCATCAAAATGTATTATCCAATAGCTACTTGCTGCGTTTTAAAATCGTATTTACAATTGTCGCTAAATTGCATTCAGTTTAAACGGCTTATATGCTTTGCAAGGAGCGTGCCAGACAATTAGGCTGATAACATGCACTGACAGCGCCTTAGCCAGAATTACCGCTGAGGTAGACCGATCTTGCTACTACGATAAGGTAATGAGAACATAGTTAAGAATAGAATATTGTGTGTTAGCATTTGAACGATTTGCTTTGCATACTTGATGGCTAAACTCACTATTTTTGTAGAAGTTCGCGAAACAATTTAGAATGCAACGTGTTTTGATATTAAAATATTCAAATTTGTTGTCTAGGTGTTAGGCCTACTTGGTGCGTTTTTTTTAAAATCTGAATTTATGTTTTAAGTATGTATGGTGGGTTGTTGCGAAGACATAATAGTACATTATTCTCATGAAATAATCATATTTTTTTCCATGCGGTTAGTGTCTTGCATGAACCGACACAGAAAGTTTTGAATGTGTGACTGAGAAATACCTGTAACGCACGCATACCTTCCACAAAAATCCCCTTTCTTATATCCATTTTTGTTATCCAACATGATTCTATAATGCAAGGAACCTTCTGCTTCATGTATTTCATTTTTTAGATGCAGCAGAAAAAGTCAATGCTCGGATGCAGATGACTCAGGAAGATGGCTTCCGTTTGACAACGGACAGTGTATCAATATCAATACCATTTCACCATCAAACACACCTCTAGCCAGACCTACACAGGTACAAAGAATTGCTTTACAATTATTTTATTACCAACATTTGTTTCATTTGACAATGTTACAAATAATCTTCGTGATATCGTTTGATGGACCCGCTTGTATAAAGTCCAGAAATAGAACAGCTTGTACCAATGGACTTCACTCTTTTACCATATATCTATGATCATGCGCAGTAAGGTGAATGACGTAGACCCCCTAGCTCGCCTCTGTATTCAGAACACTTAATTGATCCGCAGACTTACTGGACTGGGGATCAAATATGTCTTACCCCGCTTGAAAACGATTCAGTATAATTCTCTAATGGTCTCCACGCCCACCACACGCGTCGGGCCTGCAGGGGCCTATACTAGAAAATGAATGGATTAAATCTCGGCCCCAAGGTTCAATTGCCGACCACCTGCATGGATATCGCATTTGGGAGGCGGGAAGTCCATTGAAGGATTATGGTGGCACCACCTTTAAGTGGATTGGCCAAATTTGATCCGCCTATCTGTAGATTTCAAATATGCCCTTGGATTTGACCTTTGACCTTTATTTCAAGGTCAAACGGGACAAAATTAAAAAAAAATGAATTTTTTTACGAAAAAAAAATTATTTGCGCTGTTATTCAGACACCACACAGACTTAACCAATAATATTATTGGGAAGTGTTACCCTTCGGGTCATCTTTCATTTCCGTGAATTTAGGGTCAATCGGTGCATTTTCACGGGAGTAGCGGCCATAAGATACCGAAAGTGAAAACTGTCTATAATTCGGGAACCGTTAATGCTAGAGACCCATTCTTTTTTGCATTTTGTAGAGCATGTAAAGCCAACACTGAAAGTGGTCTCCGTTTTTTTGTATTCCATACGGTTTTCAAGTTACGTTGTATCAAAATGTACAAATTGGTGGTGAAAGCAAAATGTGCAGTACGGTAATGGATAATAAATTTTGAACTCCGGAAAAATAAAACAAAAGGCTTGGCGAGGCAGACAACTTGTGATCAAAAATGACATTATTTCATCAAATTTGAACATCTGGAACTTCAGAGCACCTCCCATTTCAAGAATTTTGACCAAAATGACCTTTTCTTTATTTTAATTAATTTTTTCTGTAGGAAATTTATGGCACATTATNTTCTGTCAAAAATGTATCCATATGTCGGCAACCATTGCATAGAAGAATTTAAAATTTTGCATGCAAGCGGTCTGTTTTGCAGTGCGTAAAATGAGTTAAGCATTGTTTATCAAAATCGTTAAGCTGTGCCAGAATGGCGCGAAAAAGACAGACATTGCCAGACAGATTATTGCCCCAAACGGAACTGTCCGCACAGTTTCATAGAGTAATGCCCAGGGTTATGTACCCACACAGACAACACGTCCAATGTATCGATATCTTACCACCAGGATACAGGACTCAATGTCCTTCAGGAAATGCTGCTACAATTAAACCAAAACCACCTAGTCCGTTTTAAATGAGGGGCAAATTGTCACCAAACCGCGTTTTTCAAGGCGCTAAGCGAAGACCAAAATGGTTTCAGCAGGTTAGGATATTAGGCGACCTCTGAGGAAGCCACTGTAAACAGCAAAACAGCGTAGTCTGTTTCTCTAATGAATTGGGGACCATGACCGTATCTGGGTAGAACACTGAAATCGCGTTGTTTTCTTTATTGAGGTCAGATTTCACCTGTACCGCTAAATTGGTCAAAAAAGAGTTTACAGACATCCTGAAGAGGCCTACGACAAGGTGTGTGCCGCTTCTGAAGTGACTAGGGCCATTGACAGCGTCAATATTTGGAGTTGATACCACATTGGTGCCAAAACACCAATGGAAGTCATCGATGAAAACCTGAACCAGATCAAATAAAGGAATAATCTGGGAACCACTTGACTATCATTTGATAGGGGGCACCTTAGGAACAGTTTTAGGTTGCAGGATCAGATTGCTGGTTCACACAGAGAGCTTTTTATAGCAGATAACGTACAGAACCAAATGAATAAGCAGCTACCTTGGTCATCAAAATCGCCATATTTGAACCACTTTGACAATATGTGGTTCGGTCAATAGTCGCCGAATCAACGGCCTGCATGTCCTACAACAAAACTGAACCAAATTGGACAAGTTTTAACCGTTGACTGGAATTTTATTCCAGATTAAATTCTAAAAAACTATCGCAAGAAATGCCTTGCCTCTTGAAAGCTCTGGTAGCAGGAAGATAAGGTCAGGCATAGCAGCGACTGTTACTGTGACTAGAAACTGACATGAGGGTCCTTTGTGTGTCGTTGAACTCTTTTAAAGACGATAGTTTGGAAGATATGGAGATCCAAAATATCGCTTTCAATGGTTGTCGCATGACTTAAAATTGGCAATGCATTTTTGTTTGCTTCACTGGCGAAGTCAATTAAAGAACTGATGTCGCAATGACATGGAACATTTTATCAAAAGTTATTTAAACACGATTTTAATCCTTATTTTTATTTATCAGTCTGCAAAATAGGAAAAAAACTAATGAATAATGATTTAGAAAAAATATTCCATATTAAATGTCAAGTCTGTAGAACTAATGCTTAGGGTATGGGGAGCTACAGAAAACCGCCGCATAGATCCATGAAAATCTTTACTTGGAAAAAAACAAGAATGGGTTTGATGACTTGAATTTTTAAACGACAGGTTTTTATCCCAAAAATTTTAAGAAAAACACTCAATCTTGCTGTTTAGTGCCAAGTTTAAAACAGAACGTTCTCGCATCTCGTTTATACCATTTTCCTGAACATTTTTTGTTCTAAAAATCCGACTGTAATAAATCTTAACAAAAAATATCCTCCTAACAAAAAATATCCTCGGTAACTTCTTTGTATAATTTCAATCTTTTGGTGACTATAATTCTTAATGTGAAGTGATATTGATAACCTGTTCTTTGGATGACCAAAAAAAAAAAAAAAAAAAAAAAAAAAAAAAAAAAAAAAAAAAACAGCCGCTCATGCAGTTTAACCACATATGTATCGTGCACCTGTTTTAACTTTATTTATATTGATCTGTAATCATTGAGATCAAAGTGCTAGAGCCATTTACTTCATTTTTCACTGTAGGCCCTCTCCATTTCTTATTTTTCTTGATTTATAAAGTATAATTATTAAATTTGGAAGATTCTTAGTTCTTCTTTGGCTTTTTGGTGTGCCACCATTATGTTAAAGGACTGGTTATAAAGTGCGAGGGGGATCATAGAACGGCAAGTTACTTTTTATGTGGTCCACCCCCACTTATTTGCCACAGTAATCCATGTCCCACCCTTTTTTGGAAATAAAAGAAATAAATGGCTCACCTCCAATAGCTACTGGTTGCCCTTGTACTCCCTTTCGACTTTTCCTGAGAATATGCAATGATATTTGAAGTTGTTCCAATATGTTTTACATCCGTTGTAGTTTAGTTCCCAGAGTTCTGCATATTGTTACGGGTATTGTTTTATCCATTTCACTGCTTAACATTTTTAGTATTATAAATGTACCTTCAATTTCTGGTTGCAAAATAATATTTGGCCATGTTCCTTCTCCGAAATAGGAAAAAACACACTATTATTGAATGAGGAAGTACCGCATGGATTTAATACTATAGGTGTTGGTGGAAACGATGTAAAAATGTAAAAATGGAGCAGAGAGACTTTCGCGCAGATGGGAGGTGACAATATGATCAACGTAATCAAACTAAAGAATGGCCAACGAAACTTTATACTTTTGAGGGAAAGACTGATGAGTTGAAGCCAGCTTACCTAAACAATATAAATTATTTAAAAGTGCTTTTCCAGAACTTAAGTGACAAAGTTGATGAATTAAAGAAATGGATGGAAGAAGACATTGTGAAAACTTTCACAAAATTTTGCAAACTAAAATGTGGTCAGGAATGTGCACACAAATACAATGAGAAATGATTGGGTGATGTGAAGTCACTGAATGGAGAAATTCTGGAGGCCTTGCAAACAATTGAAAAAATAAGAAGGAAACAAGATCTGGCCAGCCTGGCCAGTGGAGTGTTAACAACAACAACAACAACAACAACAAATAATAATAATAATAATAATAATAATAATAATAACTAGAAAAGCACTCCGAGAGCGCAGACCTCCGGCAAGACAGCGATTTTTATTATTATTATTATTGATTATTGATTGATTATTGATCTGGATCACCACCAAAAACTAATCATCTCTTCCTTGGCCCACTTCTGACAGTTATAACTGACCCTGAACTGTTGAATAAGGAGACAATTTCAAAAAATTAAGTAAACAAGACATCAAGTGGTTTTACTTGTTGCATTCGAAAAGCTTTTTTACAAAGAAAGTATTGCACGCATGTGTTAACTTGAAGACCGAGTTGAAAAAAGACTACGATGATACAGACTGACACAGAAGATGTGTGAGATGAGATGTTAAATGACTAATTTATTTATTTACATTGAGAACTTTACTTTCTGTGGCAGGCTTTCTTAATCTAAATGATATGCCTTTATAACTGTTCTTTAAAAAGCTACAAGAAACTGTTGTTGTTTGTTCTCAAAAAAGCTTGTAAAAAAAAAAAAGAAGCAAATTTTGTTGTCAAGCCTCTATCAGGCTGTATTATTTCAAGCGCATCAATTACCGGTAGTTGGTCTAAAAAATTGCACATGGTTGCTGCTTAAAATAAAGATTTATAATTTGCGGCCCGCCCAAAATGAATTGCTTAATTTCTTTTGGCTCACGACTTTTTGCAGGCACAAAATTGTACCCGGCCTGCTACCAACACACCCCTTGTATATGTAGGCCCTACTTAATGACCAGCTCCTAAATAAAAATATCTACAGAGACACATATATGTATATCGCAAATGAGGTTTAAATCTAGTTCAATTCATTAAAGTCCCGATAACGTTAAATGCACTGCACATTATTATTAACAACATTTTTATTTACCAGGTGTGCCGATAAAAAAAATTGCTTTAAAAGTACGTGCTGCCATCTATTGGCTTCCGCTCAAACAACCGATTCATTCGTATTATCTCGGCTGATTCCGTGTGTATTGATGACGTCATGGGTTGACACTGGCAACGCAGCACGCTCTCGGCCACACCATAACAAACCCCAGCATAGACTAACTGTATGATTAGCAGTTGCAGTCAATTTAGACAGATAGCCTGTTATTGTAATTTTGTCTAACGGTAGGTACAATATCTTTAATGCACAAAAGAGCCTATATAGTTTGAAAGAGTTTCATAAATGATTGTAAAAGCTTTTAAAAGCGTTAATATTTTTGATATGATATTTTTTGGTTTAAGATAATTCGACTTATGATCGTGCGTACGTGTCATCAGTGGTAGTTTGTTGCTGAATATTGTGACACTCAAAACATAATTGGTTATAACAAGATCACATATTTATATGAGAATTCTAATGGCCATTCTACGAGCAGGTTTGCGAAAAAAAAAAAGGAACTACGTTCATGTTGTACCTTACACTAGTGTACATATGTAGTTACAGTGTGTGTAGTACGACTTGTGATAAGTCATGTAGTTTTTCGATACCTGTTTTTCGTTCAAATCATTGAGTCGCAATTTTGAGTCTTGTGCATTTTAAAGTCAAGTACTCATATTGGTTGCATTTAGATTTCAGATGCCAACCATGGCTTCCCTTCCTTATGGAAGCTGCTCCGCCCATATTCAGGCCAGTAAGGGAGCAGATTCCAACATCATGAAATTCTACTGCACAGAGCATGCCTCTAATTATGGCAAAAACTGGGAGAAATTCCGCCCCCGTCCATCTAGACACACAGGAACTGGATACCTGTCTAATTTCCGTCCTGGAGTGTATTATAGCAGAAGATTAGATGATGTAGATAACCCAGCTATGGCGTATGTGATCCTTTTTTATTTATTTATTTATTTATTTTATTTTATTTATTTATTTATTTATTTATTTATTTATTTATTTATTTATTTATTTATTTATTTTTATTTTTGCTATGGAGACATCAATACTTATTGCACAATTTATAATCCATTAAACTAAATTGGTTTTTGCAACATTTTCCCCTACAGATTTTTTTGTTACAGAATTATTCCTCTGACATGTTTCTTTTTATCCCAATTATGTAAGATTAGTGTGCGCACCATGTGTAAGATACATGTGCGCACTTAACATGTTTTACCCTCTTTAAATACAGTTTATTATTATTATTATTATTACAGGCGCTTGATAGCCAAAAACTATCACTCTGTCACAGAGCTTGCATTTCAACCATACAAAGTGAGTTCCAGTGGCAAGGATCCACTGCCAATGAGTGTGTACCAAGCAGGCAGTGGTTTTATCCGTCAGAAGCCCATCACCGCTCCCACCAGCAGGGCAGTACAGAGTGTTTGTATTGACACCAGAATGTCGAATGCATCGGCAGATATTTTGCCAAGATATAAACCACTGCTGCACAAGATCCAGTCTAAAGATGCTGTGGAATTAGAAAATTCTGGCTATGTAAGTGTATGCAAGAGCATGAGTAATATATACGTGTGTCATTTTGTGAATATCCTGGCATAATATTTGGAATTATAGATTTATTTAAATTCAAATTTTATATGATGTTTTACTCGTGATATTTAATTTTTCATCATAATTCTTGTTTTTAGGGTCCAGGTTTTATGACAACTGAAACTAAGGAGCGATTCAAAGGACAACCAAGTGAAAGAAGTAAGTACAATTTGCATGAGCTATAATTTATTTTAATAGTTAATCATTAACTTAATGGCACTGGGTCCACCAGACAAGCAGACAATATCCCCCACTGCTCTCACAATAACAGACACTGAAAAACAATATTCACGAGATCAAACAATGAACAAAAAGCATTTTTATAATTAAAATAACCTTGTTATTTATGAAGATCAACTTCGATGACACATGCTTATTTGAAGATGTCACACTTAAATTTGCTGTTTAAATTTTTTTTCAGTGGACACAACAATGAAAACTCTTGGACCCAATGAAGAAACTGGATTCACACATGCTTACAATGTAGAGCCTGTCACCTACCACCCGGGATCCCCATACAAGGGCGACAGACCAGTATGTGACATTTTTCCAGACTATTTTAGAATATTCTTGAAGCACTCTCTTCCCTCAACAAATAAGAATGATGAAGCTTCCTTGTCTATCTTTTTGCCCAAAGCAGATCTTGAAATAAAGATACATTTATTTTATGTAAAAGATATTTAGATAAGTGTATATTAGTCTTTTTTAATTAAATAAGTTATACTTTTTAAAATTTCATGTATAAAAAAACTTTGGGGCACTTGTAACCGAGATACCACTTTTTTTTCCAGGGATACATCACAGATAGACCTACTGGAAGAAGTATCATGAAGACACATTTCCAGCCTTCAGAATTTTTACATGTAAGTGATTCCATGAGATTATGTTTAGAATGTGAAAATGGTGCCATGTTCAACTGAGCTACAAAAAAAAAAAGAGATTGTAAGACTGCAAAGTGTAATGAACAGAGTGAAAAAAAATTCTGTCCAATCGTTGCCAAAAGCATGTCAATTTGTTACGCTCTACCAGGGTGACAGATTGATTTTTCACAAATATTCACGGATGTGTCTCTAGACAAATATTCTATTTTTCCCTATATAATCTGCCCCCTGGTAAAGGGTATCAATTTGTACAGTTTCTATCATAAAGCCAATGACACTGTTGACTTGTTATATGTTTATGCTCGAGGATTATCAGTCTGTGGAACACTTATTGCAGGGAGGAGAGCCATTACCAACCATTCCTATTGGGTCTGAGCGGGGGACAGGTTTCACTGCCGGCACCAAAGCCAGACCAGTGTTTGTTAACAGGGTGATGGGAGATGTGAGTTTTCAGAATGTTGTGTCAAATAAGAGCCCAGTTTCACCATGCCTTTCTTAAACTAGCAGTTGTCATAACTGGTTTATCTTTTAATTTTCATGAGCATTTGAAAAATTACAATGTCATCAAGATTTCTTTAGTCGCATGATAATTGATAAAGACAGCTTTATAAATAGTTACTGCTATCTTAAGATTTGACAACAAAACACAAAAGGTAGATTTTAAATGCTAAAGCTTATTTTGATCATTTTAGGCATATGACAAAGCCGATGACATGCCTCGTGCAAAACTGGAGAGAACTAAGAAACAAGATCCTACAGAATACATGAATATGACACACCCTAACAATTATACAAGGTAGGTTAGCTGCCCCTTGTTTCCCATCAATAGAACTGAATATGCTTATCTGCATATATTTTGACTGGAATCAAGTACTCTTTCCCACATGTAAATTTTTTCAAGAATCACTCAGTAAACTGTGAATCTAAATTTTAAAAATATCTCAAATAAATTGAAAAAAAGATGTTTTTAATGAAATTTTTTCATATTTTTGAAGTTTGTTTGATATTTGTTTTCTCAGTCTTGCCAAAGATACATTCCTTGGTCAACAACGTCCAGATAAAACGGAAGCTGATCGCCTGGAAACAACAGGAGTTGGTTTCAAGGAATTGACAGGGTTTAGTGAAAATAATGACAGATTTGTGCAAACATCTGATAATCCAAGGAGATTCATTACACATTATGCAACAAGGTATGAGCATATCTAATTACACCCAATCATGTTTAGAAATTTTACCCAAAGAAAAACCTTTTATTTGTAAGGATTTTAAAAAATAATTTTTTTAATGTGACATTATTCTTCAAGTAAAATAAAAAAAAAAAAGAATAAAGCCAGAGAACATTCATGACCATTGTCTGTTTTTCTTTTCTTTCATTTGCTCAATGAGTTCACCATTTTTTTCCATTTTTTTCAGGTTTCCTGATCCTACCCCAGAGGACAAGGAAAGAGAGGGCCACTGCAGAGGTGGAGTGCATCTGCAAAAGTCTGATGGTTTTACAAAAAGCACAGCTGTACATTCATATGGCCCTGACATTAATACTACTGCAACTCTTAGGTCATTACATCCTTATGTGGGAAGGTAAGCACATTTTTATTACATATGTGAAATAAAACTAAATATCTCAAAAAAGTTAAGGCAAATATTGTTATATGTTCAAATTGCGTGGTTATGTTTTTATAAGGGTACAGATGGAATACTTCTAAATACCTCTTAATGTGAAATGTAATGATACTTGCATATATAAGCTCCTACATTGCTTGGTATTGTAAATGATTGTTTTTATTTTAATCTTTTTCAGGAGTATTAGAGCACGGGACTCCTACTTTGATGATCATACCCATGACCTGAAGTTACACAGAAGTGTGACCGTTGCTTGAAATAAGGATTTATTAGCATAATATTTTTTCACTTTGTCCGTGGATCCTGTTGAAGGAATCTGGTCATGTAAACAGTCAAATTCTCTTAAGAAATCATTGAACAGATGGACAAACTTGAAAACCTTTCAATGAACAATTTTTATATTATGTGGCTCGTGTTAGAATTTTCGTAAATGCCATTGGAAAGTGACACTTAAAGTGTTTGTGATAATTTTTTAAATTGCTAGTGTAGATGTTTTTTCAAGCTTGCCAAGAAAGAGGAGAGAACTTTTCCCACCTATCACTCGTTTTCATTTCATCGTCATAAAACAAACATCATTTCATTTGTACTTTTGAATATCTAACATAATGTTTCCTTTAATCAATGTGATAATAATTTGCAGTATGGATGCTTTTGTTTCAATTTTATCCCCATTTCTTGTGCAGTACTACTTAGAGTTGCTCAAATGCTCACATGATGTACGACTGGCATTTACACATTTTCCATAATGAAATCTATTTCAATAATTTTTAATGTAAATAATTATGTGATAAAGTGACTTTTGACAGCTGTGGTCAAAATATATATACATGCTGCTGAATAAACTATTTTTTCTTATATTTTGTTGTCCAAAAGGGATACTTTTCTTTAATTGAATAAAATATTGGTGTAATGACTTACAATTATTATAATAATCCAGAGGATATTAAAGGAAAACAAAATTGGTCATTATATTTAAAACCCAGTATAAAATGCTGTTTATTTTCTGCAAATTGGGTGCATTTCTCTCACACAGGGCAGTTCAGTTCAAACTGGTGCTTTGAAAGCAAAAATACTTATAATTACATGCACAACAATTCAGCAAAATGTTACCATAATCACACACTTGTCACTTTTGAATGAGACAATTTTACAAAGATCTTTTCAATATAAACCTATACTTTGGCAAACATTTTCAGTCATTTTGATGCAATTTCTTTTTTGGTAACATTTACACTGAAATAAAGGCAATATGCAACCATCAACTAATAGCATACAACATCAAGGCTATCACAGAGACATGACAATTTCTACATGAAACATATTCACTTGCTAAGTTTACACTTAAAAATTTAATCAGCTGTCACCCCCCCCCCCCCCCCCAATTCCTCCCTTCATAATTACTACAAACGTGATATTCCAGACAGTTTAATGCTAGAATTTTAATTTGAAATTGAAATATGAAATTTGGTTAACCCACACTTTTGTCTTATAAAAACCTTATTTCAACATTTGCTTCTTATAAACACTCCATATCAAAAGTAACATTCTTTTTAGAACCAGAAATACTAATACTCCAACAAAGGACACTATATAAACTAGGCCAACATGTGCCCATCAAAATCTTCTAAATGTAAGTATAATGTTGCACAATGGAATGTTTTCTTGTTGCATTATTAACACAAACTGTACTGCAGCAAGCTTCTGCAACAGCAAGCAATAGAAACCTGCAATTCAGATGCAAAATATTTTCAAAATCTTTCACATTTGCTGAAAGAAAGTAAAAATTAGGTAAATATGTACATATATAACCATGAGGAAAAAACAGCGACACAATATGTGTTAACATTTTCTATAAACATCATGTGGGTTATTTAAAAACAAAATGAACTATTTACTGTAAAAATATCATTCTAACAACAGTACAATCACAGCAGTCCTATTTCATTTCTTAACAAAAAGGATGCCGTTTCCTGTGCAGATACTTCCTTTTTTCCCCCATTCGATACAAAATACTATTGCATTCATAAAATGGCACACAATACATAAAGATATATCAGCTTCATGAGCAAGTACACCTAAACACAACCTCAGCATACCAGTATTAAGACAAAGAAAAGTAATCAGGCAAATGTATTGCAAAATTTTTTCATTTAATATTTGCATATTAAGCATTCCTCAACAATTAATATATACATCATATCAGTCAAATTTTGTTTTGGCAAGTATTACTGGAAGATATCAGTAGTAAAAAGCTGTCACAACAACATAAAAGCACGTAGAAGAACTAACAATAAATATACAAAAAAATTCCCCACTGATGACATACTAGGTATCACAACTTAAAAACTACCACCCAGAATAAAATCTTCCAGTGGGTATACTGCTGGCAATTAAAACGTATCCCAAACTTGCCTTCTTTCTCCTGGCATTGCAGACAGGACGATAACAATAAAAGATAAACAAAACATACATGTATGATATGTATAAAGAATTGGTTTCTATCAAAATCAAACTAAGCTTTAAGCAAATACAATTTGGTGGTACGTCAATTTGGGAACAGCATGGTTTTTATGTAAAATATTTTCTCTCACGTTTTAAACAAATGTACAATGAGAAACAACTATCCAAATTGGAAGTAATTTGAAGCATGTTTCATTTCAGATGTGCTCTGAGTATACTCATATTAGAAAGTGCTATCTTTTTCACTTGAGACTTCAAATACCTCATCCAACTCTTCGTGAGGGGAGGGCAGAAGTTTCAATTGGTCATCCGACTTTTTATTACTTTCCGATTTTGACAATACAGTTTGCATTGCCGGTGAACTAAAATGTCTCTGCCGCATCAGCTTAGTGGGAGTGTCCTCACTGTCTTTGTCCTCAAAGACAGGTTCAGTGTCCTCCATTTCTTTAATATCTTCAATATCTTTGGTTCTGTGTATCTGGTCTGGTTTATACACAGCATGGTCCAAGTGGGTGTCAGATTCCGAGTGCTGAAATGGTGCCTGGTAACCCCCATGAGGGTAGCCACGCCCCCCTTGAGAATAGTGGCCTGTCACATCATTATATAACTGCTGGTTGCCATGGGTGGGGGAATGGGGGACATACCCATTCTGGGTACAATCTCCTTCACTTATAGCCTGACGCGCACTTGAACTGCTCTCAGCAAACGTAAGTTTATACGAGTCTGTGCACTCTGCCTTTTTCAATTTCTCTCCAATTATCTGACTTCTGGTATTGAAGTCGGACAGTTTACTGCTGCCATCACCTTCAGCATTACTGTCAACAACGTCAGCATCAGGATTCTCATCCTGATCAAGATTCAATTGCTTGGGGTGAGATTCAACTTGTGCTGTAGTGGTGATTGTGTTTCTATACGGCGTAGACTGTGCAACAGGAGGCTGGGCAGTCCAGTTCAGAATATCAGACAAAGTGCTGTCATTCCCTCCATCCTGCACAGTGCTGTGTAATGGAGTAGGTGGTGGCGCCACACTGCCGTCCCCTCCTTTAGATTTATGGTGACTGGGGGAGGCAGCAATGGGGTCCATTTTGTCGAACCCTTCAGAAAGTTTCAAAAAACCACCGAGATACTTCCTAGACCCACTGCTACTGGAGCCCACACTGGAGGTATCGGAGAGGCTTTCAGGAGTAGCAATGGGTGCTGGCTCCACATCCACCATCACAGGCTGCCTCCCACTTCTGAAGGGATACGTTCTAGACCTGTTTAAACTTCTGGTAGGGGAACTGCCTAATTCATCAGTCAAAAATAACTGGGTCTGTGTGGCTGTCTTCTCCCCTGGCTTGACTACCACTCCAGTAGGGTTGGTGTCATCTAGTTTATCTGGGGTGGAGACGGCTGCCTCTAGAGGAGATGTATACTCCCAGCTCAGACTGGAATGTCTACTGGGGTTGGGAACATCAGGCTCCTCAGGAAAACTGCCAGTGTAGCTGGACTCCAGACACAGGCTGAAACAAGAGCAAAGAGACTGTAACAGGAATCAGACTTTTTGACTACCTTAAAGTCATAATCCTTTGATAGTAGGAAAAGTCTCATTAGTGTTGTAAGCACCAACACCACCCTAATAGTCTAAAATCCGAAGTTAGTCAGAAAATCTCATTATTGTTGAAAGCACCAACTAAAAAGTTGAGCATCTGCCAAAAGTAGGAAAAATATCATCCCTGCTGTAATTGTATAACTCTTTGTCTAATATCCATTAATCTTTGCTTCTCAGGAATTTTCTCTTATTCAGAGAAAAAGTCAGGAAATATGGAGTCCTAGCGGCCCTCTGCATTGATCTCATGAATGATATTTTTGGCTCCCAAAAAGTCTGAAATCTGCTCATCAGAGGCCTCGTTTTTTTTCCCTTGGCAAAAAATCTACGCATTCAAAGTAAAGATTATAATTTGCAGGTTATTTGTTTTATCTTAATTCAACTGATGCAAATTCAAAGTGACAATCATCTATCAAATGAAACATCTATGAGATAAAATCTACTATTCTGACACCCCTGTGAGCTTTTTTCTTAACAGAACCTAATTTAAACTTGTTTTCTTGGCATAATATAATACAAAGTAAATCCTAAAATTGGTAGTTTCTTACTTGTCAGGCCTAGGAGCTCTCATCTCCATAGTATCCGTAGTATCTGATGTCAGGAGAGCTCTCCTCTCGTGTTCTGGAAGTCTACGACTTGGTTTACTTGGTCCAACATTCACAAGCACCTAGGATTCAAAACCATTAAGTTTCAAATGTTAAATCACTGCACCAAAATATGAAAAAAGCATAATTATTATATATAATTATTCATGGTTTATGAGAAGAAACCAACCAAATTGCAATGAAATAGACTTGGTTTATTAACAGCATGTAACATGAATCATCAATAATAATGCTTTGGTCAACTTTGTGAAGCCCCTCTAGCATTTATTAAATGAAGACCTGCTTGCCCGCAGAGGTCGATTTTTATCCTTTTAGTGTATATAGTATAAAACAATACTCTTGAATCAAATAAACATTATCTAGCAAAACCTTTGTATCCATAAAATCAATCAAAGTTTATCTATAACAAATTTTTCTACTTTTATTTCATCTTATTAAACTATCTTCAGCAGTTGGTTATTATCTAATAAGCTGCCCTTTGCCTTAGCACCAGTACCTTATTCAGGGCTTCCATGACCCTCTCTGGCATGTGGTCTGTCATCATTCTAGGGGAAACTAAAATCTCATGGAAGTCATTGTTGTCCGCCCATATGGCTTGGTATACTGGCTCTCTGGAACCACACACCGGTCTGCAACATAGCATTTAAAACAGGGAATCAACTTGTTCTTCATCTTCAAAAGAAGCTTAAGTGACACAAAAGCAGTTTCAATTTTCAAAATGCAATGTTGTGATAACAATACACATGTAGAAACCTTAATCTGAAGCCACTGTCCTTCAGGTAGAATAAAAATAAGACTTGTGATAAAAAAAATTACTAGTAGTGCAAAAACAATGAATTGCATTACATTGAAAGCATTCAAACCTTAAAGTCATGTTGAAGTCATGGGGCTATTTGAACAGAGGATCTTACAGTAAAGAAATCACACTTTGTCCTTACCCATCTGATTTTGGGTGAGCTCTAACAATATGTATGATTCTACCAGGAGGGTATAGGGGCTGACTGGGTGGCTGACTGATTTGGTCAATAGACGAGTGATTAGCGGAGTCTGAAGTTCTCGGGGTCCGTGAACCCCTGTTGAGTTCTTCTTGGAAGTCATAAAAATAACTCTCCATATCAGTAGGGCAGCAGCGACACAT